ACAAATAAGCATTAAAAATTAAAAAAATGTTGATAAGTTATTAAAAACATTTATTAGAAAAATGTATTAAAAATAATATTTAAAAAATTTATATTAAAATAAGTGTTAGAAATATTTATTAAAAATTAAAAATACAGACAAATATTAAAAATTTAAAAAAATTTTTATAGAATAAATACTAAATATTTAAAAAATTTTAATCAGTTATTAAAAAAGTAATAAAATTATTGAAAATTAATAGAAAACGTTACTAAAAATTTAATAAAATAGTTATGAACAAAAAATAAAGTATTAAAAGCAAAAGCATTAAAAAACGTTTTAAGACCTTTTCTATGGTTTATTGGGCAATAGCCGCCATAACAACAAAAGTGCAAGCGCGGGCACACTATTTTACAGTTAATATTTAAACATTAAAAAAACAACCAAAATGTCCATCCGCCTGCGGGTTATAAGGCAACGCTCTTAACCCTATAGAACCGGAGTGGGTCGTGGTGACCCAAGAGCATCCAACAACAGACGATACCAAGCGTTACAATAACAAAAACAGGATATTTGCTGCGGCTTTTCCTTTTCCTTTTTCGATTTATTTATTTCTGCGGATATGAAGAACATCATGCTGATATTTACCAATCTCGAAGGGCTCAGGCGTTTTAAAGCTGTCTGGGTAGATCTCGACGTGACAGAGCTTAATGCTTTTTTGGGTATGCGCCAGCAAATATTAAATTATTCAGATATTTATTTGAATATTTTGAAGTTATTTAGTGGTAAATTAATTTTGAATTATTAAATTATCAAATTATCAAATTATCAAATTATCAAATTATCAAATTATCAAATTATCAAATTATCAAATTATCAAATTATCAAATTATCAAATTATCAAATTATCAAATTATCAAATTATCAAATTACCAAATTATCAAATTATCAAATTATCAAAAAAATTAAATTATTAAATTAAAAATATTAAATTATTAAATTATTAAATTATTAAATTATTAAATTTATTAAATTATTAAATTATTAAATTATTAAATTATTAAATTATTAAATTATTAAATTATTAAATTATTAAATTATTAAATTATTAAATTATTAAATTATTAAATTATTAAATTATTAAATTATTAAATTATTAAATTATTAAATTATTAAATTATTAAATTATTAAATTATTAAATTATTAAATTATTAAATTATTAAATTATTAAGTTATTAAATTATTAAATTGTTAAATTGTTAAATTGTTAAATTATTAAATCAATTAAGTTTTATATAATTAAAATATTAGTAACTTCTGTCAAATATTTTTTCTGTTTATTTAGGATTATTGCTTCTTCAAGGAGCGAATAATAAAAATGGTCATTGTGTGCGTGATCTATGGAGTAAATATGAAGGAAAAGCAGTTTACAAGGCCATTATGTCACGTGACCGGTTCGAACAAATTCTGTTATCTCTGCGATTTGATGACTCTTTCACAAGAGATCAGAGAGAAAAAACAGACCGATTAGCTGCAGTGTCCAATTTACTGAATATCTGGGTTCCCATAATTCAGCACTCGTTCATCCCCGGAGAAGACGTGACAGTGGATGAACAGTTAGTACCGTGCAAAGTCCGATGCGGCTTCCGGCAATATTTGCCAAACAAGCCAAGAGGAAAGTACGGCATAAAGTGTTGGGCGGCTTGTTGTAAACCGGCTTATTGCCTAAATTTCCAAGTTTACACTGGAAGACCTGTAAACTCAGAACAAATCAGAGAGCTGAATCAGGGAGAGCGCGTGGTGTTAGATATGGTGGAGCCGTTGGGTGTCAACTCTGGTAGAAATATTGTCTGTGACAATTTTTTTACCAGTTTTCCATTAGCCCGGAAGTTGCTTGCCAGAAACTTAACCTTAGTCGGCACATTGCGGAAAAATAAACGGGAAATTCCCGATGACTTTCTTCCTGCTAAGAAGCGGGACGAATTGTCGAGTTTGTTCGGTTTTTCAGGAGATAATATTACGCTGGTTTCATATGTGCCCAAACAGAATAAAGCCGTGGTTTTGCTTAGCACAATGCACCACGATAAAGCGTTAGCGGACGAGTCAGCCGTATAAATTGAAGATCGGCAGTTGAAACCGGAAATCATTCTCAAATATAATGAGGGAAAGTTATGGGTCGATTTATTGGACCAGTATGTGGGATACAATTCCGTCAAGCGCAAAACACGTCGCTGGCCAATGGTTATATTTTTCGACATTATCGACATTTCTGTGCAAAATGCCTGGGTTATATGGAATTATTTATCGCCGGCATGGAAATCAGGAGAAAAGGGGCGGCGGCGAACATTTATAGGAGAAATCGGCTATAATATGAGCAAAGGTATATTTACTTTTAATTTAGCATGAATTTATATAATGTTTTTTTTTAAATTTATATTTAATTAATAAATACCAAACGTTTTCAGCTCATTTGGGACGAAGGTTCGAAGAGGTGAAAACACTGCACAGTGATCATCGTCGTCTGATAGGTGGTGTTCTTGAAATGCTTAGCGTGCCGGTTCCTCAGGTAGATTTGTCAAACGTTACTGAATCAAGCAGCATTAAAAAACGAGTACGATGCCGCCCTTGTCAAGAGGAGAGAAAGGACAACAAAACGTTAATTACGTGTTTTTGTTGTAAAACACCTGTTTGTGGAAATCATTACAGCGCGCTGTGTGGCGCTTGCGAAAAGAACTGAAATTTTATTCATGCATTTGTCAATTTTGTTGTATTGTTAATTTTTTATTTTCTGTCTTTGTTTACATATATAGTTGTAATTATTTAACGGGTTTTATATATGGCACTATTTTTGTTGTTTCAATTTTTTTCCTATGCTTGTCCTTGGAGGGACTGCGCTGTATATTAATGCAACAACAACAAGAATCCTTTTAAGTGCTTGTGTTCTGTTATGCTGTTCAAATTAGGATATTAAGTCTATAAACGATATAAACAAATAACATCGTTGCTAATAAATCTGAGTCATTTGTACAGCGCATATCTATTTGTGGCCTGAGTGCAGGTTTCGCTGTTCGATTAACCGTAGTGAATGACCAGAGGTCTATATTCCTTAGAGGAATCAGGGCTGCCTTGCTTATGTCCTACTTATGCCCCGGCAATAATAAACGGGCGATTCTTATTTTGATTAGCCAGCCCTGCCCTTTCAGGGAGAACTGACCAACCAGTCTGCCTGGGTCAATTGACCCATCATCGGGTAGAATCGTCTCTGAAATATGTTCGGGACTATAGGGTTAACACAGCAGTAGCATTTCCCTTAATGACAGCCAAACTAAAACGTTGTTTCATAAAAGCAGTAGAACGCGCTTCTCCAGTTTATTCCCGAGTATTACGGCCCATAAAATGTACAAATTCACTTAAGGCTAGGCCGAAGACACCGAACGTTTCAACAACTAAGGGATAGAAAAGGTGTCTACTTTCCAGTGGAGAGTACTTCCGTCGCTTCTCATTTTCTTCCAGGTGAGCCACACTTCCTTTTTTATTACAAAAAAACATGCAAGATGAATGTCGGCATTTCCGCATTTGCAAACTTTTTAACCAACACGCTATTGGCGGTGAGCCGTGTATCTGTAATGATCGAACTACCGGATTTATTCGCATTAATAATATGAAAATATTTGGATTAATTCGGTTTTATTGCCTGGCGGGTGCGAATCTATAGAGTACGTACAAGTAAAGGTGCGCGCAATGCAAAATTTAATAATGATTCAGGTTGGCAGCGGAAACACAGTAGCGATACTAGTAGTGAGGCGGCGAAACAGGTGTGAAGTAGAAGTTGGACGTAGGAAGTGGATCGAGCCGATTGAACGATAACTAATAGTAGAAGTGCGCCAAGGCAACACGCCGCACAACGGCTGAAAACAACAACCAATCAGAAGAAAATTCTGTTACGTCGATGACCGAGTCCGTCAGATTTGCGAATTATGATGTGGCCACAAATTAATAATTTGACAGGAAGATATTTTATAACATGGAAAAGCATAACCGTTTGTCAAAAAAAGCCAAAGTTCGTTGTGTTTAAAATTTTTAAAACTAAATAAAATTAAATTGACATAGAAAACCCGCTGTGCACGAGAGAAAAAAAATCAGGAAAATGCGTGGATTGGAACTGCACAAGAATTATATTAGTAACGGGCTAACCAATGTTACCAGGCTGCAGTGGCGTAACGAGCCTAATAATTTGGGGGCCACGGCCCACCCCAAACGAAAAGTTATAGCATAGAGTCTATGGGAACGGCCTACCCCAAAGCCAGTACTTGTGGCCCACCCCAAACCTTTGAGCTCGTTACGCCGCTGCCAGGCTGCCACCCATTTCGCCTAAAGGACATTTCGCCTAACAGTTTGATTCAAATCATAAGTAACACAGCCAAGAAACATAAGAAAACCTAAGAAACCAAAGAAAACCTGGAAATATAAGAAAAAAATGAGTAACTATAAGAAAACGCTGTATCAGCGTTATTATCAGCGCTTTTCATGATTCGAATCGAATTTACAGGCGAAATGTCTCGTAGGCGAAATGGGCTGATACCTGTTACCAAAACATAAAACGTCATTCAACGGTCGTTGTGTGGCAAGCACTGTGCATCGTTTGCGCAATTTCACCATTAGCCACCGTTCAATCGGTTCGATCCACTTCCTGCGTCCAACTTCTACTTCACACTTGTTTCGCCGCCTCACTACTGTAACAGTAGCCGATCTGGCTGCTGTTCTAGTGGGTTGGCGTGTTGGCCGTACCACGTGTTGGCTGTATGGGCTGTTGGGATGAAAAGGTTGGCACGACCGGCAACGGTGCGGTCGTGGACGCTCTTACTGGCGTAACACAATTACTGACCGTAACAACGGAAGGGCCTAGACTCCAACTCTGACTCTGACTCTGATTCTGACCACTCAAACTCTGACTCTGACTACTCAAAGTCTGACTCTGACCGCTCAAAGTCTGACTCTGACTCTGAAGGTTTCTTAGGTTTCTTAATAGGTTTCTTAGGTTTCTAAGTTTTCTTAGGTTTCTTAGGTTTCTTAAGTTATTCTTAGGTTATTCAGTCAGAGTCAGAGTTTGGACAGTCAGAGTCAGACTTTGAGTAGTCAGAGTTTGAGCGGTCAGAGTCTGAGTCAGAGTCAGAGCTTGAGCGCGGGCCCAGCGGAAGTACACGGCATGTTTAATGACAAGAACAATGCAACACAGAGAACAAGGTTTGGGCCAGAGTTTAACAAGCTGATCAATGGTCAAGCCGATGCAAACTGAGAACAAAAATGAATTCTAGAAATGTTTTATCTCGGCTCAAGCAGCGCTGGGCTCGAGTTTTATAATTTACCGTTCGGAAGCACATGGAAAGGCAGGAAAGCATAATACCAACAGCGCAATACTAATTTACAGTAATATTAATACGAGTGCATGGCATGCCATAGTGCGTAATGTGTGTGAGAGACAGTTTTACGATTTCCCTTCCGGTCACCGGGCTGCAGGAACGTGCGAGACTGCGAGGAATATATGCAAGCAGAATTAAAACTAATTGTGAGTCTAAGCATGCACACGCCATGATTCACAAATCATCACTGCCCAGATCGAGCGGCATTTGAAATAAATTACCAAACCAGTTACGGCATGTCGATTTTATAAAAAAACTGGCTTGTGCTAATAAAAAGTATGCATACAAAAGTACGTATGTATAAATCACACATATATAGGCGTAAAAACCGTTTGTGCGCGCAGCATTCGGTTCGGGAGTTATGGCTGTTAGAAATTTCCAAAAATTTTGGAATTCATTTTCAAATTCATTCATCCAAATTCATGCATTGATTTCAATAATTTAAATTCATTTTAAAATTTTAAAAAATTGGTGCAGCTCTGGTTCGGTGCAAAAACGCTTTAAATGCATTTGTACGTTTCGATGCAAAATGATCGGTTGCTGACGAGACTGTGTAGTGTGTACACCTAAATAAGCTAAGATTTTTGGAATTTTCTAATACGTAGCCAAAACTCCCGAACCGGATGTTGGGCGCACAAACGGTTCTTACGCCTGTGCATGTATACAAACAATCTGGCTACAGAAGGTTATAAAACACAACAAAGAATTGTTTGGGAGTGCGCGAAAATGAAAGTTTTCGTGCATGGACATACAGGAGTTCGGTACGATGTACCGGGCCAAATCTCTTAATCAGTTTCATGGCCGGTGTAATAAATTTCACAGTTCGTTTTAATTCGAGCTGGAACCTTTCTGGAAAGCCAACGCTGAAAAGCAGAACGGGTTATTTTTACCGGAAAGAGGATGCATCACGCTGATTGCACGAACGAACATAAATAGCGACGCTATTTATAAACCAACACTGCAGTTCAGCTGAACCGGAAGTGATTAGTAAAGAAAGGCCGCCGTCGCGTTCACCCACAACCGGCCGACACCCAAAGCGTTAAAAACACAACACAGGCATGCCCGCGCTGGCATTTCAAGGCCACCAGCCAGCCCACTGGAAATCACTGAGGAGCATTCTCCCGTAAAGACAGCAGCGCTCCTTCCAGTCCGGAAATCGCGCTAAACGGTGAAATCTGGACGCCGGTAATCACGGAAATCACGCAACGAGCGATGCATTGCGATGATTATGCATTAGCCGAGCAGACGTTGAAGTCCCGTTTAGCGGGTTGTCTGCTGCTGATGTAATAATAATAGTAATAATAATAATAATCACGTGCTTCCGTATATCGGGATGGAGTGAACGCTTTCCGCGGCTTCACTGCTTCTTGGGAGGATTGTCGGGATCACAGTGCTCGGTGTGGCGTTTGTGTCGGGCGTCCAGCCGGCGGCGGACCATCCGGCGGACGTGCGTGGGCGCCTGGCTGACCATCTGCTGCAGGCGCTCCTTGGAGGGCACCGGCCGGATGTAGCCCCAGCGGCGCAGGTAGGCGATGGCCAGCGTCGTCAGCGCCAGCGTCAGGCCGTAGCGCAGCGGCGCCACCACGTGGTACAGCGCGTACGCACTGGCCAGGTACGCGTACGTCGCCGACCGCGACGACTCCAGCCGGAAGCGCTCCAGCAGCGCCTCGCTGGCGCCCACCCTCTCCAGCAGGGACACGATGTCCACGCCACTGCAGCACATGACAATTTAGACAAAGTAATCAATAACATTTTATGACATTAATAATCAATCAAAATTCAAAGCGATAATATTTCATTATAATTAATAATAGAAGTGAAGCAAATATTAATAAATTAATATAACCACAAAACGGCGAATCGGGAGGGGATGTTGTGTGCAGTGTGAGATATACAAATTCAAGTACAAACATAATTGTACATTCGTACTTCATCTTTGTTTCGCTTCATAATTATCACGGCAATAAGCAGACACTGCTGCTTTAAATTAACTTAAGAAAACTTAAAAATTGTAAATACATTATACATGTATTGTTCTTGTGTTTTACGAATGAAATTAAAAATTAAACGTAAAATAAAATGAATAAACACAATTTTGAATTAATAAAGCTGAATTGTACACCCACCTTTTGACTAGGTAGTAGAGGAGCAGCATCCAGCCGGCGGACGTAAGGGCGAACACGGGCAGCAGGACGTACCAGTAGGATTTGTACATCTCCTTGAAGCGCTGCCAGTACGAGGGCTTTGGCTTCTCCGGGGCGGGTGCCATAGCGTCAGCACGGGCTGGCGGTGGTGCAGCGCGGATAGCCCCTTCCCCAGGAGCCCCATTCGGTCCACCCCTGGTGCTAGGGCGACCGCCCACGGGGGCGGGGTGGCTGCTCAGTCCGCGCGCGGCGTCGTGTACCCGATAGGAAACGCGCCATTCAGCACCCACGAGCCCCCTTCCAAGGGCGCGCAGCTGACGCACAGGGGTCCGTAGGATAAGCGTCCTTATTGACACAGCAGCGCCCCTTCCCAACCAGCACGACGGCCAGTGTGCAGCGCGTCGCGGGAACATCGCGTCGGCCGCTCTCCGCTTACGCAGCACAACGGATAACGAGCTCCATCCGATGCTCACCCACTGTTACAGTGAGTGCCAGCAGTATCCTATAAATCTGCAATTTGAGCAAAAATGGGGCATCCCTTAATAATAGCTTTGCTTCATAAGGGAATACCTTCCTAAACGAGAGAATTTGAGAAAACACACGAAAATGACGTCGACAAGCAAACGTTAAACAAGATTAACGCTATACGTCAACCTCAGAAATAAAATGAAGTACTAAAATAATTTTGTCTGAAATCTAAACAAGCGAAACAGTTCAGTTTAACAATAACATTATAACAAGCAATTTAAATACTCGTATTTAAGCGCAAAGACCAAAGTTCTGTAAAGCGCAAATTTATTTACCTGTGTTGTAAAATCCGGAGTTGGGATGTAGCCGTAGGGTTAAAGCATAAGCTTAAAGTGCCTGGCATCTCAGGCGGTCCGTATATAAAAAGTCTGTGTCAGTGCTTTGCGAGTATTTTGACGGATTGCGAAGACATTTCCATACGGATTTTTCCCTTATAACCAATATTATTTAAACCATCTAAGCCCAAAAATTGTTGGCTGTACCTTGTACAGAATTTATGCGCCTATTTAAAATGAACATGTCGTGTTTATTTACGCACGCGTTCACGTATTACGTAGAAGTTGCAGCCACTACAGTTGCACGGTACAGATTAGATTATCGTGCATATCGCACTGTTACATAGTGTCTGGCTGAATAAAACGATTTGTCTCGATAAGAAACTTTCTGTGTGAGAGTTTTGCAACAGCGGCGTGACTGAGTGAAGTACAATCCAGGTGTTGCTACGCTATGGACTTTTTAGTTGCTTGCTTTCGCCTTTCGCAGGCGGATAATAAATATTTAATGAATATTATTATACCGTCATCAGTACAGTACAGATTGGTTCTGCGAATCTAACATTTTTGTCGAACGTCATATTTTACGGCTGCAGGGGAAACCGTTGTAACTTGTAAATCCATTTTTGTTTTTAACATAACAATTATAATGTACTGGTCTGATTCTTCATAATTATCCTGTGTCTTGCCCACCCGATTCCGGTTTAATACAGACCTGTGGGAACTTGCAGCGTATCGCTCCCCGTGCAACTCTGACGAGCAGAACAAATCAGTTCATGTCAATGGCGTAATCAGCTGGAAATACCGGATACCTGAAGAGCAAGATAGGAGCGCACACGCTTACAAGCGGATCCGGCAGCCAACTAAAGGAGAAGAAGGTCAAAGACTACATTACAGCACAAATCCTGGTACGATTTTATGAAAGTCCTTATTTAGTCAAAATTTTCTTCAACTGCAAATTTTGTGACAGCAGAATAGTTTTTACGTTTCATGATACATAATTAAAAATTTCAAAAAATGAGCATGTTAAAATATCGTACATTCTGCATTTTATTAACCATCGGCTTATCTGAAGACCACCACTTATTTTTATTTGTTTGTTTTCGGCTGCAGCATGCATGAATTTGCCGTTCCAGCAGAAAAACTGGGAGATCTGTTTATGAAAAAGCCAGGATTTATGACGGAGGCAAACGCGAAATCATTTTCTTTCTCAGGAAGGACTGTGACGCGTGGAAAGAATGTATTTCACCAAAATCTGGCATATTTGAGCGGTGAGTAATAGTTTGTAATTAAAGATCTTATAAGCTTATATTATACAAAATTCGGCGGTCGGCAAGATCGTATTGGACTTTGCGGATGCAGTATGATGTTTGCTTATGCGGCCGATACATTTTCAAACTTGCCACGCGTTTTCGCTCAAAGAGCTTCCAAACGGTGAAGACAGGTCGCTCTGGTTGCACTGGCGCTGACAACCACAAACACTATCCTTTCTTCGAGCACTTATAAGTACAAGAAATGGCGTCGGCTTCGCCTCCGCATTTTTTGTAATCCCGTTTTCATTTTCTTCGATACTAGTACATGTAATAATTTAATTTGGATTTGGTTTGGCGATTCTTGTGGTCCTCGGCCGGTTTAATGAAATGATTTAGATTATTTTCTTGATTAACATTTTGGATTCCATCGAAACATAATGAATGGACTTTAACCGTGTGAAAACGCAACTTTTATAGAAGATCCGGTTTTTGATTTTCTGACGCTCGTCCGCATTGCCACTGACTTTGCACGTAAACATTGCTAAATTTCCGAAGCGAAAACTTACGAAAATCTAAGGTATTAAAAGCTTTGTTAAAAGTCAAGTGATTATATGGCTTATTTGAAATCATTTATTTTGAAACCGACATCAGACACAACATGCTTAGCGAAGCAACAGTAATTTCTTAATTATGGACGTAATTATGGACGTGTTTAAGTACGGATGTACTTTAAATTTATATGGCAGACCCCGCTTATGGAGATGATACGTTTGATCGTTCCACCGGTGCACGGACCACCGAGCAACGAACATGGCTCCTGCCCTCCTGTTCCCTTTTTTCCCGTGCCGTCACTCCCGAGGTACCCGCAAAAATGGTCCCTCGCTTCCTTCGAAACAAATCCTGACTGTTTTTTTCTCGCAGTTCTAAGCTGCACTCGTATATTTGAGAAACGGGAGTGCCCTTTAATGCCAGAGGACCGCGAGCTAAATGTCGTCAGGTCAAAGATTTTAAATCGACGTCTTTTGGTCATCAGCCAATACGGGATTCATTTGGAACACCTGGCTTCCCGCCCCGTTTTTTCTCTTCGGGTCACCATTTTCGAGACACCACCGTGTAAAGTAAAATACCGTTAGTCTTAAGAGACCAGCTAATATTTTCGAAAATAAAAGTCGGTTATATTACTAGTACTTACTGTACTACTATGCTGCCTCTATAATATTTTACTATGCAGCATAGTAAGTACTGCCTTAAAGTACGTAAACATAGTCTATGCTTACGTACTTTAAGGCAGTACAATAATTATGAAATGATTGTACGAGTACAATTACAGTGGGATACTGTTTTACCAAAATTATTGTTGTATCTAAGCTACAATGTTTTGGTTTTTCTGTACAAGGCGGAGGAGGACGTATACTGTATGCTCTGACATCGAGGACCTCTGTATACTTTTGCAACAACAACAATAACATATACAAGGCTAGTAAATACAGGGAAAAATAATGATAGAGTACGTTCTGCACCATTACAGATTTCAGGAGAAACAACTAGTACAACGAGTGCTACAGTATACCACAGCAGAGGTCCTTATCTGTGGACTGCGATTAAATTGCCTTCCAACAATTCTTTCAAAATTGCATTTATCTCTGTATGCCAAACAGTTTGTTCGTCTTACTCAAAAATCTCTTGTACTTCCCACTGTGATGGCCAGGAGGAAAACGGCCGAAAGAGTGAATATCTGCACTTGGGAATGTGTTCCGCCACTTTGCATGCAGTTCTTGAGACCGCTCTGGCAAATTACGCGAAGGAAAGTTTTACAGTTTTCAAAGCCATCTCTCGCAAAAGCTACCAGCAGACGATCTGTGCGCCAAATGTCTGCACGTGCGTCAAAGTACGTAGAACGGCATCTCGCCCAATACCAGTAATGTTCCGAAAGGCAAAGGTCACGGCCAGTCAGTTACACCAAGGACCCCGATGCCCTGTTATGCTCCGCGCTCCTCTTCAGAAAAGGTACCAGCCTGCCTTGAGGATAACCTGGAGGGCTCGTATGCTGTCGAACAGTAGAGCGAGTGATCTTAAAGGATGGAAAAGGGAGCACAAGAGTGGCACGTAAAAAGAGTAACATGCCTCTGAGAAGACGGTGCTGTATTTTTCCCGACTGTAATAACCTCAAAATATAAAATTTGTACATCATGGTGTCTGGATGCAGCAGTGGTGTGGTCGTTTCTTGTGCTGGTGCACCTAGAATTCGCGTGGTGTCTGCTAAAAAACTTTAAAAAAATAATTAAAAAATCGTTCCGGAAGCCTGGTGGTGGTGAAAAATGATGCAGGGAGCCCTCCCAAATAATTCAGTGTGTAAGAAGTACGTACAGTATAGCCAGAAGGGAGAGCCGTAAGGTGGTGAGAATAAAAAAGGTTACGAAAATATTTTTTAAAAAAGGTAGTGCGAATAGGCACAGCATGGTGAAAGTCGTGACAATAACCAAAGGTGGCGTCAGGGTGGTGAGGCAGCCACTTCCAATTGAAATAATACGGCGATTTGGTTTTTCCCAGGTCGAAGGATTTCCAAGTCGATTCGCGTTGGCAGCCTCAACAGTCGCGGATAGTTGTCTCAAAACTGCCCATTTACTTCCTCGCGTCTCCGACGGCCTGACCTTTCGAGATGTTTGACGAAGGATAAAGACTTCCGCCGAGCGGCTTCAGGTTGGTTGGCTTGCTCCGGGAAGGTGAGATGAAAAGAAATCACGGGTTGCGTGAGTAGTACGTCTGGCTTTAGGATTGCATGTCCTGGGTTCGATTCCTAAGTTGGGTAAACTTTCATCTCATAAAATCAAACCAAAAAAAAGTATAAAATGTTCTAAACTAACCAAAGAAATTTTCCAGTAGCCTGGCGAGATATTTCCCTTGAAAGGAGCTGGCCACTGTACAGTAGAGTGATAATAATAATAATAATAAATTTAACGCAGGTTATGATGATTTCTCGCACCGACGTTCGTCCACTGACACAACGTCGACCGCAGGACATTCACCCACACCAAGAAGAAGCCTAAGAAAACCGAAGAAACCATGAGCCAACTAAGATAGTTCGGCAAAACACTAATTCGACGTTACGACGGGTAAACATCGTGTCTGCTCGACGAAGGGACGGTCGAGGGATTTTCGTCGGCGAAATGGCGGGTCACCGTGATGGCTAGGCTTTTTAAAAGACTTGTTTAACGTAAGTTAAGGAATGCAGTGAATGTTAGCAGTACAGTATTGTACCGACGGTCGGGAATCAAGTGCATTGTGTAAGTATACAGCAGACCTGGGCAGTTATGGAATTTGTACTCATAGTTAGAGTTAATAGTTAATCGCAGCTCGCGAGTTAAGTTACGAGTTGAGTTAGTGGCAATAACTCGAGTTAACTCGCGTTAAAATAAAAAAATCGCTTTTCAATAAAAAAATTCTGCACTTTATTAACCATTTTCAACTAATCTCTTACGCGTACCAGTATCACTATTACCAGATTTGAAACACATTTCAGAATTAACATTTTTCGAGCAAGTATTTTCAAATCTCGCATCAGTGTAATTAGCTCGTCTGGAACCCAGGGAAGCGCCGGCAACGCTGAACTTTTACACTATGGTGTATTACACTATGGTGTATTACTGTATGTACATGGCTGCCAAACATTGGGGTTACACGGCTCGGACTGTTTTCCCAATGGACAAGTAGCAGAAACACACAGACATACAAATTCCCTTGTGGTTTTGCTGCAGAATATTGGTGTCCTGAGTCCTCCTACCGTTGACCAAAGTTTGTTCCCTAAAAAACTCCCCGTCTGTTCTCTGCACGCTGCTAGAGCCTGGACGTGTTACTGCATTATGTTAATTAAGCGCAGATGATGTAAACGACTACAATCACAGTCAGAATGCACTGATTGCACTCCCCAATACTTACGTAGAAGAAGAGAAGCGTTTTGCTCGGACTGTTTCCCTCTATTGCTGCTGTCACCCGCCTGAATAGTGAAGCGTTACCGCAGTACATCTGATTAAATCTGGCGCACTAAATAAGTGCCGTGTTTAGCTACAACGAAGAAACTCCAGCCAGGTGACGACAGCAGTACAGGGAGACGGTTCGAGGGTAATGGTTTTCCCCTTATATTCATCTAGCCAATGCCTTGGGCGGTCGTACTGTTCGTCGGCACGAGCAGTTAATTTCGAAAATTTATGCGATACACGGTTAGAATAATATTCTTTCCGATATTTCTGAAACTCAATTTCATTTTTAACATCAACTGAAATCTGCAGAGTTACGCTAAACTCGAGTTGCGCTATATTATTTTTGAGTTGCGCTAGAGTTAAGTTTTCGTCCTCGCGAGTTAAGCTTCAGAGTTAAGTTATAACTCGTTAACTCGAAAAAAACTCGCGTTAAGTTAAATAGTTAAAATTAACTGCCCAGGTCTGGTATACAGGGTACATAAGCAGCCAGTCAGCCACACATGCGAATGTACGTACATTTGCGCCTCGTACAATTTTCCCGTTTACGCTTTGGCTCCGGTTTCCGGACGGGCTTGTACATGGCTATATAATCATATTAATATCATTAGTCTGCACATTATGCAGTGTTTTGGGGAGCCATTCCTTTTAATTTATTTAGGAAATAAAATGTTTTCCCGTTGTGGATGGTGCACGGTGACCTTTGATATGCGGACGGGATTCGGCTCTGGAACTCGCGTTGGCTGCGAGCGCGGAACTCGCACGGATTGGAACTATGTGCACGGTTGAATTGTGGAAATACCTAATTGTTATGGAAACTGCTGAAAGTAAGTATCTCCACACACAAGTAATAGTCACAACCTGAAAGCACGAAAGCACACACAGAGAAAGTACCTATTCCGCAAATTATTTTTATTTTTGTTGTTGTTGTTAATAATATTATGTTATGTATTATTATTATTATTGTTATTATTATTATTATTATTATTATTATTATTATTATTATTATTATTATTATTATTATTATTATTATTATTATTATAATTAATATTTATATTATTATTATTATTATAATTATTGTTATTATTATTATTATTATTGTTATTATTATTATTATTATTATTATTATTATTATTATTATTATTATTATTATTATTATTATTATTATTATTATTATTATTATTATTATTATTATTATTATTATTATTATTATTATTATTATTATTATTATTATTATTGTTATTATTATTATTATTATTATTATTATTATTATTATTATTATTATTATTATTATTATTATTATTATTATTATTATTATTATTATTATTATTATTATTATTATTATTATTATTATTATTATTATTATTATTATTATTATTATTATTATTATTATTATTATTATTATTATTATTATTATTATTATTATTATTATTACATGCAAGCCTCGTGAGAGGGAGGCCACGAAATTGACCTTCGGTGAATACTGGTGTCTGTAATAGGTATTGGACCGTTCGCATTGACTCCATAAGTTTTCAGTAAATTTGTTTTCATTATTTTGCTAAAGTTTTATTAAATTTAAATCAAACTGGACAGAATAAGAAAGGTTTAGAAGAAAGAGAAATATAAAGTCTTTCGTCTCACTTGCTGCTCCGCTCGCTTCGCTGCGCTCGCTCGCGCCGCAGCTCGGCGTCGCCTTCGGCTCCGCCTTCGGTTTCCATAGCATCGGTCACCTTTTAAAATGCTGTTACGGTAACGGTAACCCGTTATGGTAACGCTAACTGTAACCCTTTACTGTAACTGTAACCCTTAAAGGTAACGGTACGGTAACGGTGACCCATTACGGTAGTGGTATGGTAGCGGGACCCGTTACGATACGGTAACCCGTTATGGTAACGGTAACCCGTTACGGTAACGCTAACTGTAACCCTTTACTGTAACTGTAACCCGTTAACGGTAACGGTACGGTAACCCATTACGGTAGTGGTATGGTAGCGGGACCCGTTACGATACGGTAACCCGTTACGGTAACGGTAACCCGTTAAACCCGTTACGGTAACGCTAACTGTAACCCTTTACGGTAACGGTGACCTGTTACGGTAGCGGTGACCCGTTACGGTAACGGTAACCAGTTACGTTAACAGTAACCCGTTATGGCAACGGTGGTGACCCGTTACGGTAACCGTAAACCGTTACGGTAACGGTAGCCCGTTACGGTAACGGTAACTGTAACCCTTTACGGTAACGGCCGTCGTTTGTTGAATGTTCAGCATGCTGAAATAAAAGCTGCTACACGCAAGTACTTTTGCACTTCGCATTCTGCACAAGTACAATGGAAGCCAAAATTGTCTTACATTCGGTCCGGGACCGAATGACCAATAAAAATAAATGGCCAGGACCAAATGACCACTAAACAGAAAACGCGCAAGAATACGAACACTTGTTCCTGGCGCATTACCCAACGAAAACCATCAAGCGATATCTCAAACGAAAGATAAAACAATTTCAAGAATTTCGATACCAAACATGTCATCCTTCATGAGATCTAGGAGAAAATCGAGCCATTTTAGTTTGTCGTAGACAAAGCACACGATTTCTGTGTGAAAACTGAAACCAAACCGCGGATGCAAATCCTATGCTATGTCTACGAGAAACTTTAGATGCCTCGATTATCTCTTAGATCTTATAAAGAACAACTTATTTGGTATCAAAATTCTTGAAATTTTTTCCTCATTCGTTTGAGATATTGGTCGATGGTTTTGGTTGGGCAATGCGCAAGGTGCAAGTGTAAATGTCAGCAGGCCGATGGCCAGTCAAAAATTTGGCTGTTTGAGTACAGAAAAGTGCTTAGTTGCGCGAGTTTTGTGATTACATAAGTGTAAGACAATTTTGGCGTCCATTGTACACTGTTTGTAGATAGTAATTATTATTATAAGTTCTTCAATTTTTTCTTGCAGAATAATATTAAGACGACTCCAGACACCACCAAAGTCTCCCGAAACGACCTTTCACCACCCGTTAAGCTCTCGACGCAACTGTTCGCACCGCTTTCTGCCTAAGCGCACCATTTGCGAGACACGATCGTGCATAATAAAATGCCGTTTATCTCAGGAGACAACCTCACAGCTGCGAACTGTGAGATACACAATGGTCGGTACAGTGGAACCTCCGAGTTTGAACACCTCCGAACCTTCATCAGGTTATGGCGGGCGGCGGCGGTGGCAGCGGCGTTTAACTCGGTGGCGGTAACCTCTGAGAGTTGTGAAGATCTCTGAACCCTGAACAAAAAATTGCGTACCGAAGGTAACGAAAATGCTCCCCCGTTCCTTTTCCGGAAAAGCGATAAGAGAGTGGGTAATGCTTCCGTTGGGGCTTCCCAGCGTAATCCAGAAGCTACCACCACTGTCCCGGTAAAGCATCAGAACGACTGCGATTAAAGGATCTGCTCGCACTTACGGAAATGGAAGCACGAGAGTTGCACAGAAAACGGTGAGCTAAACCCGAAAAGGCAGTGCTGCGTTTTTCTCGCCAGTAATAACTTTATAAAACTAAATCTGTGCTGTGTTGTGTGCATTTCTCGTCAACATTTTCGTAATGACCTTTCGTAACAACCTTTCGTAACGGACACAGAAACATTTTTGCATTTGGTGCTAAATTAAGACTACGCTTGCTTCCCTCGATTAAATTATTATTATCATCGCTTAAAGCCTGTTGACCTTATTACAAAATAAAGAAGTCAGCAATAGTAGTTATAGTATCATACGAATGTGGGTTAAGGTGGCGCCTGGCAACCAACGATACCTATTTCTATCTGCATCAGGATCCATCATTAATGCGCTAGTTCGCGATGGATCCTACTCACCAGTAAACTACTAGGAATAGTTGAATTCCGTGCCATGAGTAAAATACGATGAGGTGTTAGTTCACGACAGTTACGTAGCAAGGAAAAGTGCAGGCTAACCAGCATAACATAATTCTTCTCACAAAGCCAGGTCAGTTAAACCTAGTCCTAATTTTATTCCTGACATCAATAGGACTGCAGGTGCGTCCGGGTTGAGAAACCATTCAGTTCTTCAAGTATTCGGGCGTCAGTCAGCTCATCTTACCCTTGCAGTAGACTGCAGAAATCATTATCTAATTTTATTTCTGAATCTTGTTAGACTACGACGCTTGGTACAGGACCGGGATGTTTTTGTCAGCGCTACGTACGTACTGCACTTGTTAACCACATCACTGCACGAGCGCGAGCTTCAGTACCACTGGAAAATACGAGTAGTACTGGATTTGTGGAATTGGAAAAGTGTGCCATGGACGGTGGGATTGTGTTCCTTGGTTTCCGAGTTTGTCAGAAATATTCGGCAGGTAGCGAGCACCAGTCAAGAAGCTCGCCAAAGTGATCGGAAACGTACAACGTTTGCCGGGAAGAGAAGGATGCGCCTGGCCTGGGATGTGACGTGCGTCGACACAATGGCCCTTTCCCATCATCAGTCCACGTCGGGTACGGCAGGTGCTGCTGCAGTACAAGCAGAAGAAAAGAAGTCCCGACTGTATGCTTATCTGCAAGGTCGCTATATTTTTTCTCCGATCGCCTTTGAGACGATGGGTCCCTGGGGCCCGTCGGCTATCGCCATTGTGAAAGAGTTGGGCAAAAGACTGCAGCAGCATACGGGAGAGAGTCGATCACATGAATTTCTGCGTCAACGCCTATCGCTGCAAATTCAGCGCGGAAATGCAGCATCTATCCTTGGCACGATGGACCGAGTGGATAGTTTAAATGAAGTTTTGCTGTTGTGATTAATGTGCTCTGTTTATTTTTCTTCCACCTGATTTGTGCATTGATTATTAATAACAAGCGAAGGCATCGGAAAAGAATTTCGTTACGACCCAAAGTACCGTAATTATCGAATTTGTGGCACTGCGCGGCAAAAAGTTCGAACGTTCGCTGCTGGTGCGCTCTATCATTTTGGTCTCCATTCACTTCGGCCACCATTCATTTCGGCCACCAATCATTTTGGCCACCAAAACCAAAGAAAACTAAGAATCCTAATTTTGGTCACCATTATTTTTCAGACAATAAATTTCGGAAGGGGCCATTATTTTTGGAAACAAGAGCTCATTGCGTTCTATCGAAACTGAACGCTGCAAACATTTCTATTGAAATTTTTGATTTCTCAGATTTAAAGGGGTAGGTGCGCTTAGTACTTGGGGTGACCTTATTGCCCGGGGCGCTACAAATTCGATAATTACGGTATTTGACGCGGAATAATAAACTTCAGCGATTCAGCGTGTGTCTGTCTCTGCTGTCGAGAATGTTGTTAAAATAAACCCGAACTACAAGTAGTGCACCAGCGCATGCATTTTTTGGTAATGCATTTTTAGCGCATGCATTTTTTGGTAAGTAGTGCACCAGCCCATGCATTTTTCGGTAATTGGCTGGCTATTGTCAATAAAAGAAATGAACCGGATGTAGGTCGTAATATTCTCCAGGTCGTTTTCTAGGTGTTTAGTTAGGTCTTGATATTATTTCGAAGGAACTAGCTAAATAAAGCAGTCGCAACGGACGAATGTGTTTTTAACCCCTTTGAAGAACTCTAAACCCTGTTTAATGGACTTGCAGTCTTGCACATACGCATAATTCATAAACAGTACCGATTCTGCCAGCTCATAAATTCTTATCAGTTAATTCTTCAGTGTTATTTTTTTTTAATTTTTATGATTTTTTAAGCGTTTTATTTTTGTGAACTTTTTTGTTTTATTTATCATTTCAAAATAATCGTTTATTATCCCGTTCTCCTGAAACTGTATTGAATGAACTAAGTCCTGTATTGAATAAACCTGTAAAAATCCTATGATAAAATTAAAATTATATCGTTTTAGAATTGTGTGTTTTGTATTACTTAATTTCAATTTTTGCCTAAATTCCGGGGAATTGAGACTGACTAAACCGTTAGCAGATGCCATTATTAACGGCTCCTGCAGAAAAATTCGAAAATAATTAGACGATTTAGCCCATACGCCATCTGGTTCCACATATATTTCCGCTAAAGGAGCGATCTGATTAGCAGCAGCCTTAGAAATAACGATGTCGAAGATCAGGAAAACAAAAAAATGTCAACAGAAACCTAAGAAAACATATGAGAAATCCAAGACCTTCAAATGTAGACAAATCCATGTCCCAGTTTTAGCGTTCCAAGTCCGCCATTTATGGCTGCTGCATTTAAAAGACTGGGGCGGAGCTGAAATTCGTAACTTTACAGTGAACTTTTAACAGCGCTTACCGGGTAAACTGCTTGAACCAAATATAATCCGTAGCATAAAATCCAGAAGTAGTTATCACCAGGAGAATCAACAGGAGAAAGCTTATGGCGAACTTTTGCACCAAGCTTTTAAATTTAAAATCCAGTACGCCATCATCTGGTTATTATAGAAATACATTTTCCCCACATTTTGGTGTGTTCGCAAAGAGGAGAAACGGACTACTGTAAGAATTTGGATCGGTTGAACGTGCTACTGGGTAACATAAGATAGATCCGTAGTGCATACATTTTCTCCGGTTGAATTCGTGATTCTCGCCGAGACTGCCGACTGGCAGTGTGTCATTTTGACGTCACTAACAAACAGGGATATTACAGTGCGCCAACAGGAGAATCATGCATTCGCTCTGTTTCTGTTCGTGTGCTAAAATTTTGTTTTATGCTATGCAGGTTGCGTAATGATTTACAACGACCACCTTATTATTAGTGCTTTCTAAATTGTAGTTCTTTTAATCTGGTTTCTTATAGTTCTTTTAATCTCTCCGATTTCACATTTGTTGCTTTTGCGTCTTTTTGAATCTCAAAATGGTGCGCTGCTGCGCTTTTGGATGTAATAATAACAGCGATAGAAAAAACTGTAGTACTCCAGGACCCCATTCGTTTCATCGGTTTCCAGCGGAAAATCCACTCCGGGCACTCTGGATACACAAAATCAACAGAAAAGATTTCACACCTGGAAAAAGATCCGTTGTTTGTTCGGACCATTTTGAAAGCACCTGCTACAGGAATCATGGGAAAGGCAGGTCTCTGAAAGAAGACAGTGTTCCAACCGTTTTTGGAGGTGCCGTAAAACGCAAAATCGAAAGTAAGTTATATAAAAACCATATTAAAAGTTAATACCAAAGCTAAAAGAGAAAGCTAAGCTAAATATGTGTTGCCTATCTCACTGTTAGCTAAAAACCAGCAAGAACCTATGGCTCAGGTACGCTACCTGAAGTTATGGGTTGCCGTTCTTGTATTCGAATATTTATTAGCAATTGTTTGCAGGTTCTGGTTCCACGACTGTGTCACCAGAAAAGAAGCGAACATGCCCTGAAAATCCTGACGATTTGAACAAAAGCTTTTCTTTATTGGAGATCGATAGTGCAGGTATTGAAGAGATCAATTATGACTCAGGCTTCTGTTAACTAGTTTACTGTTTTCAGAAAGTGTCGGAAGAAACTCAAAAAAACTGGAAAACAAGATTGCGGAACTGGAGTTACAGCTGGGTTTAGCGAGCGCACGGATTCAAGAGCTGGAAACAGAGGTTCAAGTACGGGACGTGCGCATCATGGAATTGGAAAACCTCCTTCATAAGGACATTGAGGAACCTTTGATTAGCACAAATAAACTCAAGAATTTAAGCGACCATTTATTTCGGAGATTTACCGGAGTTGTAAGCACCGAAATTTTTAACGATTTGGCCGAAATTTTTCGCGTTGCAATATCTTCAGCCAGCTACAAAGAATCCCAGAAAGGCGCTCCCCACCCAGAACGTCGGAAACTGTCAGTTGAAGACCAGTTTCTGTTGATTTTGTTCAAGCTGCGCATGGACTTATCGTTCGAGTTTTTGGGAGTATTATTTAAAATTCACTGTTCTACCGCGTCCAAGATTTTTGAAATGTGGATTTGTACAATGGCGACCGTAATCAGACGAATCAATTTTTTCCCATCCAGACAAATGGTTCTTGCAGACGCGCCGCCTGAATTTTTGGCTTCCGGATTTGCTGATGTACGGGTCCTTATTGACTGTTTTGAACTATTCATTGAGAAACCGAGTCATCCGGGCACCCACTCGTATGCTTACTCCAGTTACAAGCACCATACGACCGTGAAATATCTGATCGGTATCACACCATCAGCCAGAGCAAGTTTTCTGTCGGAAGGTTTTATGGGCTCAAAATCCGACGAAGCTATTCTATCTGACAGTCAGTTACTAGACCTGCTGGAAAGCGGTGATTCGATTATGGCAGACAAGGGATTCCGGATGGCACCCAAAGAAGCCAACCGCGGCATTGAGTTACTAACTCCCGATTTTTTAGGACCGAGAACTCAGCTGTCTGCACAAGAGATGAGTAAATCGTTTCACATTGCTCGCCACCGAGTACATACAGAAAGAACTATAGACCGTGTAACCGATTTCAGAATTCTAACCAGCTTTCTGTCCGCAGCTAATCGTCGGAACTCCTCAGGCGTAATATCAGGTTCTTCTGTGTTAGTGAGCTCATATCCTGCAACTCGCGCTTCCAAACAACCATTGGGATCTTCAACCCTCACAAAACTGCCTCTTGTTTGATACAAAGGCTTAATTTTCCTGTTCTGAAGGTCCGAAAAATCTGCCCTCGGAGAATTCCATCCTGCTGGCGGAACGATCTGTAGTATAAAACCAATAAACTTGCAATTTCCGAAAAAAATGTATAGGGTCAGGAGCGTGGTACTTTTGCTATGCCGCCCAAGTGCGCGCCGTTCAACTCCATATAATGAATGTAGCCAGGGAAGTCTTTAAACTGATCTAGAGTGGGCCGAAATGTTTGAATTCGCGAGGATGGTAACATTTCAATAAATTTAGCCATAGCAGCAGCTCCAGCGACCCAACAAGCACTAACACAAGACGTCGCAAGACAACACAACACAATTTAGCAGGAATTCCGCATGCCTGTTGCAAAAAAAGCCATGTTATTCTAACGATAGAACGCATTTTACAAGCCACACTGTAATTTCTGTATCCGTAAAACGGTAGAAATTAATAAAAGTGTAAAGCAGAGAAATAGCGCCAAGTACACATTACATAGTACGTACTCAGATAGATACCGCTAAACGACCCAGCACCAATTCTTCTTAGTTTATACTTATTTCTCACCCGCAGCTCTGTTGATGTTATTTTTTTAGTGCTGAAAAAGACAGAAATTAAAAAGCAAAGCAGTTTACAATGAGCCTTCCGCTGTTACTGTGCAATCGTTTTTTCGCTTATTTTTAAAATCGAAAAAAAACAAAGCGGTCGATGATTTTTTCTTTTGTTAATAACAGCTTCAGGAGAACATCGAGAATAATTAATAAACGCACCTGTTGGTCGCGGCTGCCAAGGAGAGGAAGAATGGTAATGCAGTTTGCAGCAATCGTGGAACACCTGCTACAAAATCCATTCATGAAAACTCAATGTTACTGTACACTGTAAAACAATTCACGCAGCAATTTCGCTCATAATTTCAGCTTCTGGCCGTGCTATTAATCGCTCTCTTTTACCTTTAAAGTCCGATCTTTGACAACTTCCTCCACGTTAAGTTTCGACTGCATTAAACGCTGGAGACGGCCGCGCTCATGCTGGAGGGGGTCCTGGCCAAGGGAGGCTCGAAGCTGGAGCGGAGGGCCGCCCGACGGTTGCTACAGCTGCTGACAACGACGGAACTCTCCGTGCTCATACTCATCCCACCAAGAAAGTCAGCGACAACCACCTGCCAACGCCAACACCACACCTGTCACTCACACTGTTTCCTTGCTTTCCCGCTTCATCGTCGTTACACGCAATGTTGAAAAAACTTGGATTAAATTCTGACATCGCCACATTATTTTAAGCCATCTGCAGCGCGTAATACTGTGCAACAAGGCAGAAAATTAATGATACCTCCACACACACTCACCCCTGTCATTCATCAACGGAAACGCCGTCAAACACGTATGCTGGTAGAATTATCAGGGAGAAAGGAGACAAATGATTCTTGCAAAGATTGACGCTACAATCGCGGTCAAACCACAGCAGGCCAGCGTGCAGATCAAAACTAAACGGCTTGTTTACATTTGGCCCATCTACACGATCGATCAATTTCGTGAATCGTCGACTCCTACGCCAAATGTAACAGGTAGAGAACGGGTAACGGTCCACTGACGTTGGCTGACGGACGGAGATTCCTCACGGAAAAACTGTCAGATACGGCGGGAATGCGCTACGGGGATCAACGCATGATAATTTGTAATCCAGAGAACAAATGCGATGATGAGCGACACGAAGTAATTAGTTTTTTCGCAGACCTGGCAGCCGAGAGATTGAGATCGTTTGAAACAACTACAATAATATCGTACACTAAAATTTCGGGAAGAATGAGGGTATAATAATCCTTAAAATTCCAATAAGGAGAACGCAAACAATCATTTTAAAATATAAATTCCCAGCCTCAGTTCTGTGTTAGTGTTGCTCAAAGTGCAGACTCGTTGCCACCGGATGTTGTTTTCGAGGCGGTCGTGCAATACCGTGGCCATAGCACTAGCGCTTGATTTAAGAATACTGTAAACATTTTTATCACGCGTTTTTTCCTCGTTTGCAGAGGATGGTTTTCTGTGAATTTTCATGTATCTGCCCAATTACCAAACAGCATAGTTTGCAAACGCGAGGTATTTAAAAAGTGCCGGGCTCAGCACTTGTTGTTATGGTCCTACGACGACTTCCCGGCGCACCTTAGGCGCACGGCTGCCAACCGCCACAGGGTACCATCCCGGCGAGAATCATCAATAGGGGGAGAGCGGATTGCGTTGCAATGATTGCGTAGTTTCCTTCTTTCGAAAAAAAATGGATGATCAACACCTTCCACACAGGGTGGTCGGAATCCGGTATATTAGACGTAATCCGGCATCTTAAGATTATTACATCAGCATCCATACTACACCTGAGTAGTTCGCTGACTGTTCCCATCTCGCGAAGCCAAGGGCACACTGATGAAGAAAATTTCTAGAAAATCTGTTTAAAAAATACCAAGTATTTTCTGTTTTCCAGTGTATGGAGTTGAATTCTGTGTGAACAATAAGAGGAAACAAGTTTGTAACAGCCTTTAATAAGTATCGTCATCAGTCATGTAAGTACAAACTGAGTACTAAGAAAGATGAGTTTTATAACAAAAACACTTCGATGCTATCCTGCTCGGGGATTGTAGTTTGTAACCATAATACATATCGCGTTTCCCCGTTGCATTTGAATAGATAACCGCTGTCTAAAAAACTCGTTCGCCCGTTTCTGGCCTGTGGCTGTGGCGATACCGTTTCCAACCTTTTGCACTAGGTGCTTAGTCCCGTCACTCCAAGGGCCATAAATGTCGAACGCTGCAGCGGTGAAATTAAATCTCGATTGCATCCAGACGTGTTTTGCCAGTTTCCTCCTTTCCGCTTGCTCGGCTGCGGTCACCAACGTTAGCGAAGGTGCGCTCAATATACGAAGCTGCGAGTGTATCGACGCACGTCACATCCACTGCTAGCGGTTTTCCCCGTTCCCACGGTACAAGTGTGATCACATCCGGCCTCTTATTGTCTTTCACGGATAGACCTTTCGGCTCCATTCTTGCTGGAAAACCGGCCGTTTTTAAAGCAAACAGAAAGGAAACAAGTAAACAGAGGTTAGAGCGACTAAAACTCGCACACAAGGTCTGAGGTCAACAGAAGTTTTTTCATGCTTTGTATTTAACAGATGTAAGCCGTAAGTGCCTAGTGTTATGCGATGTATTTAACAGCAGCAGCCTGTCACTGTCAGTAAGTGCCTAGTGTTATCTCCACCAGTGTAAGAAACATGATGAAGACGTGGCCGGCGCAACACGGATCGTTGTACTTCCATCTCCAAGGGGCTGATTACCCGTGCGCGCGGCCCGGCCCGGACCTTGGAGCGTTTTTTACCTTGTAAAACTACAGTTCTCGGTAAAGCATCCGCAAACCTTGTTAATAATTTCTGTGTTACCAGGCATATTTATGTGTTCTGGCTGCCGAGTCAATGTTCATTTCGGTTCACAAAAGTCTAGATTTTCCCAAAATCGTTTACAAAAGGACATTTAATTAATTGTGTTATTGTGTGTGCGAAATTAATAAATGAATTGTGAGCCCACTGGCATTGCGCGTAACTGCTATGCTGACCTGTCCTTAATTGCACTGGTGAACGGGCGTGTTGGTTTTTGACTTTCGAGGACCGCCTAACGGCAATCCATATCGAGAGCATTTTTACTGCTGGTTGTAAATTGTAATACAACAGAATTTTAGCTGTGATTTATATATGATAATTAAGGTTTACCGCAAGATTTAACCCATAACTGCACTATTTACATTCTAAGTTTGTGAACCGCTTATTTCCGACACGCAAAGTGTCTTTCTTGGCGCTAACATTTTTTCATGTACTGACGATGAATTTGTCGTTGAAGGGCAAAGATTTGTGCAGTTTAAGATAAAACATGTACTGCATCTGTAGGCACTGCGCACATTAGCATGTCCGCATCGAACGTGACTTTTGTGATCCGAGGTAATTAAGCGTCACGTAAGACGCAGAAATTCAATTATTTTCACCAATAAAATTAGTCTTTCACCGCAGCACCACAACGCATATTTTCAGTGATTACGACGCCATAGCAGAATGCAGATACTCGTCTCCTGAGTCGGTTTTAGAAGCTTGACAACCATTATGCCAAAAAAAGGAACAAAGAAGGCAATTTTTTATATTTTCGGCCGCGCGCAACAACCGGGCGCCCGGTGAGATAAAGGTCACCTTTGAGCATGGCCAAAAAGGAAGCTGCTGTCTGGCCGCGTAATCGCGTAATTGCGTGATTCTTCGTACAAAGGCAAGTATACTGTATGCGCGTATTATCTGATCTCCAGCGCGCTCTTTCAACTACATAATACATAATACATAATAATACTACTACTACATAATAAATAATACATACTACATAACACATAATACATACTACTTAATGCATAATACCGCTTGCATCCGTTCGCCGCGTATTCAGGCGCTCTTTCCGCCATTACCCTTATCAATAAATGGCTGGCGAAAGTTCGTGGAAATAATTTAGTTAAGGCGTTAACCGTGATACCCAGAAAAGGCCGGTGTCGCTTTGAGTATCGTTCAACGCGACACCGGCCAAAGAATCAGTTGCCCTGTGATGCGGGATAATGCTGCTTATGTCCAGGAAGAGCTTTATCCGTAGGAGACTGGACGAAGCGTATTAATATACCATATACCATAGACCTTTCACGGATTAACGACGGCAAACGTTCTCCTGGGAGCAGTCGGTATCATGTATCAATCGATCGGTCGGTTCAGAATTTTACGGCGAATCCAGTAATGCATTCAGAAAAAAATGTACGATTAAAACTGTAGGAGAAGTAGAGTTTCGAAAACCGCAGGAGGGTATGGAATATTGGAGGAACTGGAATTGGAATAGCGCTGTCGTACGAATACGTAGGCAACAAGCGTACAGTGCAGTACGAGTGCTTAGTAAAAATGTACTGCCCTTTTGCGATGAGTTCATTATGTAGGTATGTATATATATGGATCCTGCCCGCCAGTGCCCCATCACTGTGGTGTCATGACTGGTATCAGCTTCGGAATTTTTTAACGGCACGTTTCCGTACTGTAATAAAATTTGTTTTTATGTAATATATTTCCGGAACGCTGGAACAACTTAAACGGCTATTGTCCCCTTCCGCTGCATCTGGCAGAAGACATTTGAGACCTCCGCCTTCGCCCTAAAGACACAAAGAAACCGTAAGTCTCCCTTTTTACGCGGCCAACTGTGCAGCGGTGTCCAATGCAAAAATCGTAAAAATCCTTACTTAATGTAAATATAAATACATATCGTACAGATTGATCTATGGGAGACACCAGTGTTTAAAGTTGATTATTTGTTAAAGGTCACATTAGTAAGTAGACAGCCCAGTTTAGTTTACTCAGGAGAAGACAAACCCAGGGCACTCATTGGTCTGGTCACACACATCGTATTGTAGCGAAAAAACTGATATTATGCCATATATGATGCGTATATGCAGATAAACTGGCAGTCTACTAAATGATAATTCATATTACTTTAGCAATTAACGTTTTTTACTATCTGTAGCTTGAAAAACGGTGATTTATGTTTCAAAGCCGGCAAAAGTTGCACTTTGCTTTATCAAAGACCAATCGAGGCATTTTCTTAGTAGACACATAAATTATGGTCAGTTTTGTACATGAACGCTTTATTCAATTAACTTTTTTACACTGAAAAACTAACGGAAGAAAAAAGACACCGGCAAAATCAGGGCCATAAAGCACAATCTTCCGCATTTAGCTTTAACGCTTTGTTTTACTTCTCTCCGCTACGGAACCCGCACATTAAACTGTTAAACCTGACTTTTTTGTCACCGTTTATTATGCAACAAAAATTGCAACTAAAAATATTCAACTATGTATACGCTCTCTCTGTCGCGCGTAGCAGGCCTCGCATGAGTTTAAGCACTGCAGGATGGTTCACCGTTTTAACTGTACCATATGAGCGTTTTCTATGAATACTGATTTTTATACTTAATTTTTACTTAATAACAGCAAATACGTGTTGTCTGAGCAATAAATTGAGTACTACTGTATTCCACCTTAGTCATAACGGACATTGGTACCATACATGGTTGCTTATTATGTCAATATGTAACTGAAAATCTCATGATAAAATCAGTACTTATTGTACATAAAAGTGCCCGAAGCAGTACACTACATAAGAAAACTATGTACGAGCTTTATACGTACTCTCACAAGCTCAAGCTATCAGCATGAGCCGGCCATTTGATTTTTATTACTGCTTTAAAAACATTGGAACATTTATTAGTGCTTTAAAAACATTTGCCTTGGAATCTGTGATATCCATGTAATCTATCTGTTATACGTCTAGTTTAGTACTGCAAGTTGTGCAATTGGTGTTTGACGCAGTCGCAGTAATTATTAACAGAAGTGATTACTTCTAATGCATAATATGTACACATTATGTACTCGCGTACATATTATGTACGGGAGTGCTGAATTCGTTTTACAAATTTGTATTCGTAACAAAGTTCAGTGTCCAGTGTAATTTTAGAATGCTTTACGGCATTCAGGTTTGTGATCGTGTTTGAAAGTGGTATCTTTTAGGGAAACTGACAAACTACGGTGACAGAATAGCTATCACCAAGTGCACGCACGATGACGTTTTTCTGGATTGAATATTAAGGTCCTTATATACACCCGTTCAATTAGGTCAAGAATTTCGTACGGACAAAGTGCTATAAAATTTCAAATTTTTCAAGCTAAAAGATATAGTAAAAATTTACATGATTTTGACATGTCTTTCTTGTTTTTTAAACGTTTCCTTGTTTCCTTGTTTCAGGGTGCAGATAAAATTAATTGTCTATCGAATATAATAACTGTTTACGGTACAACATTAACGACAAACGGTTTGCGAGAAACTAACCAAAAGACAAGACCGTCCATATGTACGGCCACACAGTAATAACGCCGTTAGCCAGATCCAGTGCCACAGCCCTAATATTTCCTATCAGATATCCGCCCGGGTGTTTCGCTCTCGATTTGTACAGTGAGCGTCCTTCGAAATCTCGGGAGCGGATGGCTCCACGATGCTTTGTCCACATG